CCACATGTCTCAAAGCATCCAAATCACAAAAGGGCAGGAAGGAGGAGGGAGACCCAGACAGGATCTATTTACCCATCTTTGATTTTTTTGTATAATCAGAAGAATACAATCCATGGTGCTCAGCTTTGTGTCTGGCTTCTTTGACTTGTCACGAGGTTTTCAAGAGTCATCTGTGTTGCGGCTTGTTAGCAATACTTCGTTCCTTCTCGTGAGGAATAATATTTCATCACAGGGATATATGGCATTTACTTTATGCATCCATCAACTGATGGACATTTGTGATATTTCCACCTTTAAAAATATATATATTTATTTATTTTGGAGAGAAAGTGAGAGAGCACAGAGGGGCAGAGAGAGAGAGAGAGAGAGAATCTCAAGCAGACTCCCTGTAGAGCGTGGAGTCGGATGCAGGGCTTGATCTCATGACCCCTCAGATCATGACCTGAGCCAAGACCATGACCTGAGCCAAAATCAAAATCAGATGCTTAAATGACTGAGCCACGCAGGAGCCCAATATTTCCACCTTTTGACTCTTGTGAATAATGCCATTATGAACATTTGTGGACAAGTGATGGTTTGAGCAACTATTTCAATTCTTTTGGGTAAATACCCAGGAGCAGAACTGCTTGTTCACCTGGTAATTCTATGTCTAACATACTGAAGAACAGACAGCGTTCCATGGCGTTTGTAACCATTTTACTTTTCCACTAACAAAGCACGAGGCATGCAATTTCTCCATGCCCACTAACGCGTTTTTCCTCATTTTAAAATTGTCACCAGGGCAGCCCCAGTGGCGCAGCGGTTTAGTGCCACCTGCAGCCCAGGGTGTGATCCTGGAGACCCGGGATCGAGTCTCACATCGGGCTCCCTGCATGGAGCCTGCTTCTCCCTCTGCCTGTGTCTCTCTCTCTCTCTCTCTCTCTCTCTCTCTCTCTCTCTCTGTCTCTCATGAATAAATAAATAAAACCTTTAAAAAATAAAAATAAAATTATCACCATATGAAGTGATAATTCCTAGCAGCTTTGGTTTTAAGTTCCCTAATAAAAATGACTTTGCGCATCTTTCCACGTGCTTGTTGGACCTCCGCATATCTTCTTTGGAGAAATGTCAATGTGAGTCCTTCGCTAATTTTTAAATTATGTTGTCTTTTTGTTACTCAGTTGTACAAGTTCTGTATATATTCTGGATACAATATTCTAGATCACTATTAGATACATGATTTGCAAATATTTTCTCCCTTTCTGTGGGCTGTATTTTCACACTTTTTTTGGTAGAAAGAAAAAGATCCAATTTCATTATTCTGCCTGTAGATATTCATTTTCCTCAATACCACATGTTGAAAACCATTTTTCCCACATTGAATGGTCTTGGCACCCTCATCAAAAATCAATTGGCCACAGATGTATGGGTTTATTTCTAGAACTTCAATTCCATTCCACTGATCTATATGTCTTTCCTTATGTTATACTGTTTTGATTCCTGTATCTTCATAGTAAGTTTAAAATCAGGATGTGTGAGTCTTCCAAATTTGTTCTTCTTTTCCAAGATTCTTTTAGCTACTCAAGGTCCCTTGACATTCCATATGAATTTGAGAATGAGCTTTTACATTTCTGGAAGAAGTAGCCCAAAAAAAGCCATTGGGATTTTGCTAGGGATTGAACTGAATCTGTAGACTGCTTTGAGAAGCAATAATCTTAAAAAAAAAATTCTATTTATTTGAGAGGATAGGGGGAAGGGGCAGAGGGAGAAGGAGAAGCGGACTCTCTACTGAGCAGGGAGCCTGATGCGGGATTCCATCCCAGGACCCTGAAATCATAACCTGAGCCAAAGGCAGACGCTTAAACAACTGAGCCACCCAGGTGCCCCAAGAAGCAATAACCTTAATAATATAAATGAAATTGATTTTGGAGGTGAGGATGGTGCCTTGCTATGGAAGGAGATGAGAGCAGGGAAAGGAAGGCACCGGGGTGGAAATTGAGATTTGCTCGGGAGTGGTTTGATTGGAGATGGGGTTCTGTCCTCTGTACCCTGGAGGCTACATCGGGGTAACCACGTCTCTGCAATTGCCATTGGTTTAGCCCTTGAAAAAGCAACAGATTTGGCCAGTCCCTTTGTTCTCTAGAGAAGAATGGGTGGTGGCAGTGGCCCTACAGTCCTCCTCCCTGGCCCCCTGGACACCACTTGGCTCTGGAGCTAGGCAGGCATCATACAGGGCATCTGTCACTTTGGAACCAGATGTCAGGTCCTTTAAGAGCCTGGAGAGGCCAGATGACCCCTTTAGTCCCCCAAATACTTCCTTCTTACCCCCCGGGTAACAAGGCTGCTTGAGCAAAAAGGAAGGCATGGCATAAGCCTCAGAGCCATCCTTACTCTTCCAAATTGAAATAGTGAGTAATGCCTAATCGATGTGACCCTGCAAATCTTCTTTCTCCGGGGCCTTCTGTACATGTCCACCCCTCCTGCGGTGCCTGTCCGCTTCCCGACCTCACACTCCCAGCCCAAGGACCGGAGTGTAGTAATTGCTCACCTAACCACAGCTGATGTCCTTCAGGTGAAAGACACTGTGACAGGCAGTGACATTTTCTTTACAGATTGGGACATTCCAATTTGAGTTGAGTTGGCAAAGTGGAGAATCTGCCAGGTTTCTGGGGTCACACGTAAAACCAAGACCCCGGGACTCAAATGCCACAGGGACACTAGGTCAACCTCCATATCCATATTTATCCAAGGACGCACAACTTGTAACATCCCAGGCACTGATTGCAGGGTTCAAAGATCTGAGGGTCAGTGTGGAGGGTGCCGCAGCAATCACTACTCTCATTGGGTTCGGAGGGGAGAGAGAGGGCAGGGGGACACAGGAGAGTAGAGAAGACTACACACGAATGGGAAGAAGCTGTGCTGGGCCCTACGAGAGCGATCGGTGACTTCAGAGGTGACTGATGTGAGATCAGTGTCATTATCATACTTGGTTCATTGATGTGCTGGACGGGAAAGCCTGTCACTAGACCCTGGAGTAGATCATGGCCCCCTGATAGTGGACGGAAGGATGGGTACAAGGTTTGCACTCATCTCCTTCATAAAAAGGAATCTGCTTCATGGTTGAATGCACTTGATCCGAGGGAGGGGGGCATAGTTCTTCCTCCAAGGGAAGCCACTTGGGTTCAGAAGGTGAAGGAGCCACTCCCCTGAGGGAGGCTGACAGTGCGGTTTATTGCCTATTTTTCTTTTTACTTTGAGACTGGGTGTAAGCCGCACCGTGGTGTAATATCTACTTTTCCTACTAGGTGCAGGAAGCGGTTAGTGAAATCAGGACTAGAGAAGGCTCTGGGGGTCCTGGCAGGGCCCCCATGCTGTTGGTGGCCTCGGTTCCCGGCTCCAACACAGGGCTGGGTCTGATGTGTGTGGAGTGGAGGAGCAGGGGAGCCGGACTCTGAGGGAGGCTTTTCTGGAGGGGGGGGCCCTGAGGCCGACCCCAGAGCATGAGATCTCACAGGGCCTGGCTGAGCAACAGCACAGGAAGGACAGGGAGGCTGCCTGGAGATGGAGAGGCTGGGTGTTTAGGCCAATTTCTGACCAGTTCTCAGAAAGCCAGTATGTCAGGACAGGCATGTGGAGTTAGATACACGCTAAACGCAGTGCTTCCATCCATCCATCCACCCGTCCAACCATCATCCATCCATCTGTCCAACCATCCATCTATTCATTAATTCAGCATTCCCAAAGCATCTGCTCTGTCACAGCCCTGTGCTAGTCAATGCTGGGGACACAGTGATGACTTAGTCTCAGAACCTGTTCTTCTGGTTTTTACATCCAGAAGGGGACATAGACCACCTCAGACAATAGTGATTCACAGTGAGTAGGGCTGGGAAAGAGGGCCAAGGGCATCAAGGAGGGCTTCCTGGAGGAAGGGACATCTGAGCTTTGACTTTAAGAGTGAGCAAGAGGGGTGCCTGGGTGGTTCAGGTAGTTAAGCATCTGCTTTCAGCTCAGGTCATGATCCTGGGGTCCTGGGATCGAGCTCTGAGTCAGGCTCCTGGCTCAGAGGGGTGTCTGCTTCTCCCTCTCCTTCTGCACCTCACCCCTGCTCATGCATGCTCTCGCTCTCTCTCCTATAAATAAATAAAATCTTTAAAAAAAAAGTGAGCAAGACCTGTTTCAGTGGGGTTCAGCCCTGGGAGGGCAGGGCCAGTCCTCCTCTGGGCCTCAGTGAGGATTGGACTTAACCTCCCAGGGCCCTAAGCAGGGGTGGAAGTGGTGAGGTTTGAGTCTGTGGAAGATCCTGGTGTCTGTTTCCTGCAAGGGGGGTAGACAGGAGGGTTGAGACAGGAAACTAGGGAGAAGTTTCTGAAGCAGAAACAATTGTGTAATTACCAGAGTCCTGCCCAAGGGGTGGGGGGACAGCACATTCCCCTCCCTACCTCACACTCCCCTGCTCTTCAGGTCTCCCCTCTTCTCAACTAGCTGCAAGGTAGAGAAGTGTTCTCCAAACTATGGATCAGGACATTCACTCAGGATGTAAAAGCAATGAGTTTGTCATAATGGGTACTTAAAAAAATGCAAGGAGGATACACAAGAAATAGAATTGTATGCACTGCAGAGAATCTGGACTAATTACTGGGTAATTAAACTTTCTTTTGGACTGTTTGCCAAATAATGATGTCACGTTACTTTTTCCTGGTGAGTCACATACAAATGGTTAATAAGCACGGGAACACCAGGGGCTCCAGCTCTTCTTTCCTAAGACCCATTGATTTAGCTGCCCCATCACTTCTTCTGAAGAATGGATTCAGCTCTCACATCCTCTGTCCCAGGCGTTTCCTGGGGAGGCTGAAGGTAGGCTCCACATAACCGTGAGTCTTTGTGCCCCTCCCCTTTCAGCAGCACTGCCTCCTCTGCCGTCACGTGAGTCCAGCAGGTTCCCTAGGTGTGGGTAAGGGTGTCTATCGAAGTTCTGGTATAAAGTCCCAGTCCCAGCTCTGCTGCTTCCCTACCATCAACTGCTCTGGAGCGGAGGATCGAGAACCATGGAGCCCAGGATCTTTGGTAAGGATCCATGGGGGGGGGGCACTCCAGCCCCAAGCTTCTGTCTTGATGCATCTCCAATGCACCTCTCAACCTCAAACTTCATGCTCTCTTGCCTGTGCAATTCTTGGCTTCCTCCTTGGTAATCACTCCCAGGTGATCTCTGATTGCATCTCAGCCTCTCCCCTGCCCTGCAAATATCATCCCCAGCCCTTCCCAGACCCCTCCCTGCCACCCTGCCTCAGTGTCAACATCCACTCTGAGCTGTTGCCCACGGTGAAGGCAGCTCAGTGACGTCATCTTGTGTATCCTGGTGCTGACCAGATGCTTATACTCTCAACATCATTCTCATGCCCCTCTGCTTCTCAGCTGCTGCCTTCAATTTTGAACTCCTGAGCTCAGGCTTGGAAGGAATTGCAGGTGAGAACAGGTGTAGTGTGGAGGGAGGAGATGGTACCATGGATGGAGGTGGGGTCCTAGGCTAATCTTTAGATCCAGTCCAGCTCTGGATCCCCCAGATACTAGACTCTAGATGTAGCCGCTGGTGCTCAGGTATAGACAGTCCTACAAACCTCTTAAGAGTGGTGGCGAGGGGGCCTTCCTACCTTTTAAATGGGCCTGCCTCTGTGGCTCCAACTGCACCTTCTGACTCTGTTTCCAGCACCATTTCCCCAAGTCCTTGAGCTCTCAGATCAGGTGGTTGGGAGGTTGAAGGTCTCAGGCATGAAGCTCAGTTGCACCAGGATCTGTCCCCAAGGAGCCCATTCCAGTCCAGGCTCAGGGAGGAAGGAGAAGTGGATGGAGTTTTGTCATCTATGGTCCATCCAGATGAGCAATGCCTGCTGCGTTCCTAATACTTCCTTTTGGGTAGCTATGTCTTTCTCATCTCCTTCCCTGTATTCCCTTCCCCTCCTCTCTCCTTCCTCCCCTCTTTTCTTTTTTTTTTTCCTCCCTTCTTTTCTTATGTCTCTCAAGTTGAAGGAAGAGTAGCCCAACCATCTTCCAAAATTGCTTTTTACCTGAGCCACCTAGGAATGGAGCCAGAGACCACCCCGTACCCATTTACCCATTGCTTCCCATTCCCTCTTATCCCTACCCCTGGCAACCACCAATCTGCTTTCCATCTCCATGGATTTTCCTATTATTTGAGACATTCTGTATAAAGGGAACTAATCATACCATATGTGACCTTTTATGTTACTTTCATCTTTCACTTGGGTAATATTTTTGAGGTTCATTGACACTATAGAATTTATCAGTCCTTCCTTTTAGAGCTGAATATTTAGATATTCCATTTGCATATATATCACACATTTTTTTCAAGAATTTTATTTATTTGAGACAGAGAGAGGGCGTACAAGCAGGGAGGAGGGTCAGAAGAGAGGGAGAAGAGCCTCCCTGTTAAGCAGGGAGTCTGATGCAGGGCTCTATCCCAAGATCCTGAGATCCTGAGATCCTGAGATCCTGAGATCCTGACCTGAGCTAAAGGCAGATGTTTAACCCACTAAGCCAACCAGGGGCCCCACACAATTGGCTTATCCATTCATCTGTTAATAGACCTTTGGGCTGTTCCTATATTCTGGCCCCTGGGAATAGTGCTGTTATAAATATGCATATATGTGTATTTATTGGAGTACCTGTTCTTTTTACAAAAAATTTTTTTTTAGTCATGATAGAGAGAGAGAGAGAGAGAGAGAGAGAGAGAGAGAGAGAGAGAGGCAGAGACATAGGCAGAGGGAGAAGCAGGCTCCACGCACCGGGAGCCCGACGCGGGACCGATCCCGGGTCTCCAGGATCACGCCCTGGGCCAAAGGCAGGCGCCAAACCGCTGCGCCACCCAGCGATCCCTGTTGATACTGTTATAAGGAGAATTATTTTCTTAATTTCAGTATCATATGGCTCTTTACTAGTGTATACAAGATATTTATATATTGGTCTTGTACCTTGCAACCTTGGTTAATCCATCCCTTAGTTCTATAGTGGTCTTAGTAGCTTCCTTAAGCATTTTTAACATACCAGATGATCATGTCATTTGCAAATAAAAATAGTTTTATTATTTATTTTTTTAAAGATTTTACTTATTTATTTGAGAGAGAGCCAGGTTGGGGGAGCAGGACAGAGGGAGAGGGAGAAGCAGACTCCCCACTGGGCAGGGAGCCTGGTGGTGGGGCTCAATCCCAGGACCTCGAGATCATGACCTGAGCTGAAAGCAGCTTAATCGACTGAGCCACCCAGGCGCCCCAGAAATAGTTTTACATCTTCTTTTCCAATCAGATTTCTTTTTCTTTCTTTGCCTGATTATTCTGGGTTGAACTTTCAATGCTGTGTTAAATTGAGTGGTGAGAGTGAATGTACTTGTCCTGTTCCTGACATTGGGGGGGAGCACTCAGTCTTTTACCATTACAGTAATCTGTGGGTTTCCTTATAGAGACCCTTTTTTTTAAAATTTTATTTATTTATTATAGTCACACACAGAGAGAGAGAGGCAGAGACACAGGCAGAGGGAGAAGCAGGCTCCATGCACCGGGAGACCGACGTGGGATTCGATCCTGGGTCTCCAGGACAGCCCCCTGGGCCAAAGGCAGGCGCCAAACCGCTGCGCCACCCAGGGATCCCCTATAGAGACCTTTTATCAGGTAAAGGAAGCTCTCTTGATTCCCAGTTTGTTCTTTGTTGTTGTTTTAATCATGAAAGAGTGTAGATTTTGTTAAGAGCCTTTAATGTGGGGATCCCTGGGTGGCTCAGAGGTTTAGCGCCTGCCTTTGGCCCAGGGCTTGATCCTGGAGTCCCATGTCGGGCTCCCTGCATGGAGCTTGCTTCTCCCTCTGTCTGTGTCTCTGCCTCTCTCTATATATATATATATCTATCATGAATAAATAAATAAAATCTTTTTTAAAAATGCCTTTAATGTATCATTTGAGATAATCATGCCCCCTCCCACCATATTCTACTAATAAGGTGTATTACGTTGATTGATTTTCATATGTTGAATCAATTTTGCATTCCTGGGATAAATCCCATTTGGTCACAGTGTAGAATTCTTTATAGAAATATCCTGTTGGATTTTGTTTGCTAGTATTTTTTTTTAGAATTTTTTAGTTTATATTTATAAGAGATGTTGCTTTGTCTGGATTTGATATTAGGGTAATATTAGTGAGTTGGAAAGTTCTGTTTTTTTTTAAGTTTATGAATGATTGGCATTAATTTAAGGATTCTTTTTTCTTGGTCGTTTTACCTAAAGGTTTGCCAATTTTGTTAATTTTTTAAAAACATACTTTTAATTATATTGATTTTTTTTCCTATTCTCCCATTTCATTTATTTTCATTGGTATCTTCATTATTTCCTTAGTTCTGCTCCTCTGGGCTTATTTGCTCTTATTTTTACAATCAGAAGACTAAATTATTGCTTTGAGATCTTTCTTTTTTTTTATAACATAGGCGTTTATGTCTATGCAGTTCTCTGTCATCCTTGCTATAAGCTGTGTGCCATATGTTTTAATGCATTGTGTTTTCATTTTCATTTGTTTCAAATATTTTTGAACTTCCTTTGTGATTTTTTTTCCTTGACCTACTAGTTATTTTACTTAGGAGTTGGGTTTTAAATTGCCACATATTTGTGAGTCTCCCAAATTTCCTTCTGTTACTTTTTTTTTTTAATTTTTTTTATTTATTTATGATAGTCACAGAGAGAGAGAGAGGCAGAGACACAGGCAGAGGGAGAAGCAGGCTCCATGCACCGGGAGCCCGACGTGGGATTCGATCCCGGGTCTCCAGGATCGCGCCCTGGGCCAAAGGCAGGCGCCAAACCGCTGCGCCACCCAGGGATCCCCTCCTTCTGTTACTTATTTCTCATTTAGTTCCACTGTGGTCAGAGAACACACTTTGTAGGATTTCAAACCTTTTACATTATCAAGACTTTTTAAATGGCCTAGAATATGGTATATTTTGTAGAATGTTACATGGGCATTTGGAAGAATGTGTATCATGCTATTTTGAAGTGTTCTACAGATATCTGTTAGGTTTAGTTGGTTTCTAGTGATTTTTCAAGTATTCTATATTCTTGATGACCACTGATCTGCCTTATTCTATTCTGGAAAATGAGAGTGGTGAAGTCTCTCTGGCTGAATTGCCTATCTTTTTTGTTTGTTTAGAACTCAAAACCTTTATTTGTGCTGTAAAGGGGAAGAAAAGTGATTAGTAATCATGTGCATGATGCAACAGGACTAGTTCTTACAATTTCACAATATCATACCCAAACATATTTCCCCATATGTGCATGACTAATACTCGCTAAATCTCAATGACAATAACTGTATTAAGTCACTGGTAAAGAACTGAACTCTTGTGCCAATGTATATTTAAACATTAAAAAAAAAAAAACCACCCAGAAGCCAGAAAAATCCCAAGGGCAAAAAGTATCGGGGGTTTTAAACTTTTAAAGTGAAATCTAAAAATAAAAATAAAAATAAAATAAAATAAAAGAATTTTAAAAATTAAAAAAAATAATAATAAAGTGAAATCTAGGGGTGCATGCTTACTGGTTGAGCACCTGCCTTCAGCCCAGGGCGTGATCCTGGAGTCCAGGGATCGAGTCCCACATCTGGGTCCCTGCGTGGAGCCTGCTTCTTCCCTCTGCCTGTGTCTCTGCCTCTCTCTCTGGGTCTCTCATGAATAAATAAATAATATCTTAAAAAAAATAAAGTGAAATCTAAGGGGAAATGGGATATGATTAAAAGCCACTGGTATTACTTTACCAATAGATGAATCTCAGAAAACTATTAGCATACAAGGTTTTCAGATCTTTCCCTGAAGTTTTGTAAGCAGACCACATCTGGTAAAGGTCCCTCCTCCTCCAGTTTTGCTGTTATTCCCCAAACTGATTTTGGGTGGTAGTTTCCCCTCTAGTACTGGATCATTTAAAAAGCACATTAGACAAACAAGGTGACAGGTGGAACCCATTGGGAGCATCCAGATTCAATGACCTCAGTTTGCCCTGCGCTTCCCTCTACCCGAGCTGCACGCTCAAGTACTGCATCACATACCACCACTACTTATTTTTATTTTATTTTATTTATTTATTTGAGAGAGAGAGAGAAATAGACAGCATGTGGGTCAGAGGAAAGGTAAAGAGGAAGAAGGACAAGGAGACTGCATGCTGAGCGTGGAGCATGACATGGAGCTCAATCTCATAACCCTGAGATCATGCCAAGAGCTGAAGCCAAGTCGGTTGCTTAACCAACAGAGCCACCCAGGAACCCCTCCTACTTCTTCTTCTTATTTTTTTTTAAGATTTTATTTATTTATTCATAGAGACACAGAGAGAGAGAGGCAGAGACACAGGCAGAGGGAGAAGCAGGCTCCATGCAGGGAATCGGACGTGGGACTTGATCCAGGGTCTCCAGGATCATGCCCTGGACTGAAGGCAGCGCTAAACCACTGAGGCACCCGGGCTACCCATCTTCTTCTTATTATTATTATTAAATATTCTATTTACCTATTTTAGTGACAGAGAGAGAGCAGTGGGAGGAGCAGAGGGAAAGGGACAAGCAGGCTTTGTGCTGAGTGCTGAGCCCAAGGCAGGGCTCAATCTCACAATCCTGAGATCATAACCTGAGGTGAAATCAAGAGTCAGATGCTTAACCCACTGAGCCACCCAGGCACCCTGTTATTATTAACATTATTAAGATCTGACCTCTAGAACCATATGCTCTTTGGAGCCTCACAACAACCCCCTGAAAAGAAATTGCAACTGTTGGGGCACCTGGGTGGCTCAGTGGCTGAGCATCTGCCTTTGGCTCAGGTCGTGATCCCGGGGTCCTGGGATCGAGTCCCGCATTGGGCTCCTCGCAGGGAGCCTGCTTCTCCCTCTGCCTGTGTCTCTGCCTCTCTCTGTGTGTCTCTCATGAATAAATAAATAAAATCTTAAAAAAAATTGCAACTGTTGCTCTCCTCTGGTTCCCTTCTAGAGTTTATGGAGCCTGTGCTCTTCTGTTAGATCATGTGACAACTGTGAGAATCATTCCAAATAGCTTTCCAGAGTAAACAAAGTGGTTTGGGACACAATCTCCTGAAACTTCTAAGGATAAAGTACTTAGGAAATATAGAAATACCAGGTGTTTTATTGGGGAGAAAGCTTAAAATAAATGGAGGGAGCCACCTTCTCTGACTGTATATTAACTGACAATGCCCAGTAGTGCTGGAGGCCAGCAGCATTCTAGAACCATAACATGGAGTGAACCTCAGAGCTGCCTTCAGTCTCTGATACCCAGTAGCCCCTCGTGGGGCTGAGGTTATAGAGTAACAGGGCATTTTCCACTTGCAAGCACAGAAGATGAAACCATACCACCTGCATCCTGTTTTATCCATGAAATCCCATTGTTACCAGCCCCTACATGCTTTCAAAATAAGGACAACTGTGGAATACATGAACTGGGTGAATCACTAGCCCAGGCATGTGACTGCATCTATAAAAACCCTTCATGACCTGTTCCTTCTTTCCCAACTCCTGTATCTCTCCATCTCCATCCATAGTCACAGGGGCCCAGAAGCTGCAATTCAGGGAAGGGGAGCCCCGACTCCAAGGCCCGTTCAAGGCCAGTCATATCCCCAAAGCAGCTCTGCCCCCAAATTCTCTTCTTGTCAATCTACCTCAGCTTCCTTCCTCTTCCTCTTCACCCTCTGGATGCCTTTAACACCCAACTGGGGAGCTGCGCTGCATTTTTAGAATCTTAAGCTATGGCATGCTAAGAGTTTTGCCTGAATTCTCTCCCCTTAAAGGGCCCAGGATGCTCTGGACTGGAATCTCACCTGCGTCAAGATCTAGACCCTATGCAGAGATGGCCCCAAACCCAAGTCTGTAGAGCAAATGTGGGGCTAAGACTCCCCCACACTGGCCTGCCTCCTTGAGGTCAGTCAGCCCAATGGCCACACTCCAGCCCCATAGTCAACCTCCTTTCCCTCTCCTCCAGCTCCTGTCTGTGTGTTAGTCTTCCTTCTCCTCCAGTGCTCAAAGACAGTCACAGGTGAGTACAAGGATGGTGAAGAGTGAAGAGGGACAAGGCTCCCCTGGGGAAGTGGGGTCACAGTTCACAGAGGGCTCCTGACTAGGGAAGCTAGTGCCTGGTCCTCCGTGGGCTCACACCAGTGATCTCTGCTCAGACACCCCTGCTGGCCCAGGGGAGTGGCTGTGCCAGCAGGTGTCCGGGTGTGGAGATCAGATCTACAATCCCTTGGAGCAGTGCTGTGATGATGATACTGTCCTGCCCCTGAATCGGACCAAACTCTGTGGCCCCAACTGCACCTTCTGGCCCTGCTTTGAGCTCTGCTGTTCTGAGTCCTTTGGCCCCGAGAAGAAGTATGTTGTAAAGTTGAAGGTTCTGGGTGTGAATTCCCGATGCTCTTCCTCCCCCATCTCTGGGGACTGTGCCAGGTAAGGACCTTGCCTCTGGCTGTGGGGTGGGGATGAGGGTGGGGAGAAAGGAGGCAGGGAGTGTGGGTGTCCAGACCACTCCTTTTGAGGAAACCCTGCCCACTTCATCTCCAGCAGTGACTCAATTCTCATGTTCATCTCCTCATCTGTGCTTCTTAACTTCTTGGTTCCTCCTTCTTTGCAGCAGAAAGATATTTTCTCATTGAGAAAGAAACTGAAGAAAATAAATTTCCACTAAGGCAGCTCAGAAAAGAAGGCTGGGGCAGGCCTTAGAGACTGCAGTGAAGAGCCTGGGATTCACACCTTTGAGAGGCCTAGTCTGACTGCCACCTGATGTTGCCACCAGGCTCCAATTTATGGTCTGCCCATTGTATCAGGCTTTGCTCCTTGTATGTCTGCCCCTCCATCCTTATCCCCTTGCTGATACGTTAGTCAATCACCTTGGGAAGGCACTCTGTACCATAGGGTACCCTTGATTCTTTACTTGCTCTGTGAAACACCTTTTGCAATTAAGTATCTATGGGATTCTGTTGCAAAAATGTTCTTCAGACTCTAACTTATCCAGAGAGGATTTTCCAGAATGTACCAGACTTGCTTGTACTTCCATATGGCCTCTAACTTAAGAGATGTGACTGATGCCAGCAGGCCTTGTTGGGTAACTCCTAGTTGCTGAGCTCATTATGTTTCAAGTCACTAATGACATATGCGAAAGAGTCCTCACTCTTGCAAGATCAGAGTATAAAGATCTATCTAGTAAGGCTCATAGACTTCACCTTTACAGATTATGCCCAAGAGAGATCACTTAAATTGTCCTGTGTACAGCCCTTGGGAAAGAGGATTTCTAATTACCTTAAGTTACCTGAAAGAATAACAGAACTATGAGCGGGCCTGGGTGGCTCAGTGGGTTAAGTGTCTGCCTTTAGCTCAGGTCATGATCCTGGGGTCCTGGGATTGAGCCCCACATTGGGCTCCCTCCTCAGCGTTGGGCTATCTGCTTTTCCCTCTGCTCCTCCCCCTGCTCTGTCTCTCTCTCCCAAATAAATAAAGAAAATCTTAGGAAAAAAAAAAGTAACAGAACTGTCATCAAAATGGTGAAACAGAAGTTTTCTACCATCTTCCCCTAAAAAATCAGAGCACTGATTTTTCCCATCACCTACTGTTCAAGAGTTTAGCTCAGCTATTCCATGGTATTGGTGCCTCAACATCCATTTTGTTTAGGCAAGCAGCCTGCAGGGACCTTAAGCTGACACTTTCCCCCATCCCCCCCCCCCCCACAAGTGCATGCCCAGATAAAAGCCCACAGAGTCAGAAGCAAATCTAGGCGCCTGACTTCTCTAACAGCCCTTGGGATCAACAGTCTCCCCCAGCTCCCAGGGCTTTCCCCTGTGTGCCCCTGAGATAAGAACCCTGTGGAGCTTATCAAAACACTGCCCTTTATGGTTTCAATTGACCAATCTGGCCTTGGCACAGGAGCCCAAAACCTTTCATTCACAGACCCAAATAAAAGCATGTGCCCTGAGTCCTGCCTCTCTTTCTTTCTGCCTATTCCCTGCCCTGACCGTGTCATGTGGTCTCTTGAAGCCTGCTATGGACCTGAGTAGCAAATTCTGTTTCATTTTCTCTTGTGGTCTTTTATTGAACCAAGGCTCACTATCTGGCCCTCTTGGCTCTACTTAACAACTGTTGATTTAACAAAATCGTAACACCCACAGACAAGGTGCCTTGGTGGAAGTCTGGGAGTCAGCAGAGAGGTTCCAGCACGCCACTGCAGGGAAAAGAAAGAAAGAAAAGAAAAGAAAGAAAAGAAAAGAAAAGAAAAGAAAGAAGGAAGGAAGGAAGGAAGGAAGGAAGGAAGGAAGGAAGGAAGGAAGGAGAAAGAAAGAAAGAAAGAAAGAAAGAAAGAAAGAAAGAAAGAAAGAAAGAAGAAGAAAGAAAGAAAGAAAGAAAGAAGAAGAAAGAAAGAAAGAAAGAAAGAAAGAAAGAAGAAAGAAAGAAAGAAAGAAAGAAAGAAAGAAAGAAAGAAAGAAAGAAAGAGAAAAGATTGGCTACACTTCAAAGTGTAAGAAAAACTGTTTCACCTGGTTCTCATTACGCCTTTCACAAGGCGGCACAGCTAAGTGCCAGGAGAGACTTCTCAACCCGTGGTTTCTCCCATGGGTAAAGTGGAAGCCTGTGAGTAAGCAAGCACTTGGCTCCCCAGGCTGTGTGGAACGCTGCCCAAAAGATCAACTTCTTCCTCACCCCACCCAGAAAGATAAGGTGTGCTGTATGACTGGGGAATGTGGAGTGGCTAAGAGAACTGCATCCGGGGTCTTGAGAACAGAAAAGTGCCACAGATCCTACTAATCACTTTGCATACACTGTCAGGAAGTTCATCCCTAGGCTGCTAGGAATGCCTCACCTGTAGATCCACCCCCCCCCCCAGATGGCCCACAGGCAACCCCAACACTGTGCTTCTCTATTCCTTTCCCACCCTCCCACATCTATCCCAGCGTATGCCCTGGGGGGGCAGCTAGTGAAGGCCTTTGCCTACAGCTAGTGAGCACACGCAGAAAGCTGCTCCAGCTCTGCAGGTTGGGTAGAAACCACCCAAACTTAGGCATTCAACACTGTTCAGGAAAAACAAACAGAAGGTTATCAGTACCTGGCCTGCCTTAGCAGTATCAAGAGAAGGCACACAATTTTAAGAATTCCACCCAAAATGAGAACAAGTAGTAAGGACCAGGAGTATCCATAGAAAAGGTCTGAGAAAGCCTCAGAATACCTAACAGTATTGATGGAAGGTACTTCTCTCCCAAAGCCAGTCAGTAAAGCCTGGAGGGGGTGAATGCCTCTTCAAATGCAAAGCCAGCAATGCAAGGGTTCAAGAGTTCAGGGGACATGGAAAGTCAAGCAAACAGGACACTGCCAGTGGAAGGGGATTTTCTAGTAACTGGCTTCCAAGAAAGGGAAACCTGCAATTTATCCAACAAATAATTCAAAATGGTGGTTTTAAAGAAGCCCAGTGAGCTACAAGAAAACACAGACAACTCAATAAATTCAGGAAAACAATATACTATCAAAGTGAGAAGTTTAACAGAGAAATGGGAACATAAAGAGCCAAATAGGGCAGCCCGGGTGGCTCAGTGGTTGAATGTCTGCCTTCGGCCCAGGGCATGATCCTGGAGACCCGGGATCAAGTTCCACGTCGGGCTCCCTGCATGGACCCTGCTTTTCCCTCTGCCTGTGTCTCTGCCTCTCTCTGTGTATCTTTCATGAATAAATAAATAAAATCTTAAAAAAAAAGAGCCAAACAAATTCCATAGCTGAAGAAGTGAATGAATGAAATGAAAAATGCAATGGAGGGGATCCCTGGGTGGCGCAGCGGTTTGGCGCCTGCCTTTGGCCCAGGGCGCGATCCTGGAGACCCAGGATCGAGTCCCACGTCGGGCTCCCGGTGCATGGAGCCTGCTTCTCCCTCTGCCTATGTCTCTGCCTCTCTCTCTGTGTGTCTCTCATGAATAAATAAATAAATAAAAATCTTTAAAAAAAATGCAATGGAGAGCACCACTGGCAGACTTGATCAAGTAGAAGAAAAAATCTGTAAAGCTAAAGACAAGTCAGTTGAAATGATATAATCAGAGGAGAATGAAGAAAAAAAGAATGAAAAGGAGTTTTAAAAGCCTAGCCTCTGAACAAAGGGATACCATCAGAACAAAACAAAACACAAAATACGTTATTGGAATAACAGAAAGAGAAGAGAGGGAGAAAGAGAAAAAAATTATTTAACAAAATAATGGCTGAGCATTTCCCAAATGTAGGGAGAGATTCAGGCATCTAAGTTCGCAAAGCTCTTAAGTCGCAGCCCCCCCCCCCCCAATTTCAACCTAAAGAAATGTTCTCCAAAATACATTATAATAAAACTGCCTGAAATCAAAGACTAAGGGAATTTTATTTTCTTTTTTTAAGACAGAAAAATTTAGGGGATCCCTGCATGGCTCAGGGGTTTAGCACCTGCCTTTGGCCCAGGGCATAGTCCTGAGGTCCTGGGATTGAGTCCCACACCGGGCTCCCTGAATGGAGCCTGCTTCTCCCTCTGCCTGTGTCTCTGACTCTGTGTGTGTGTGTGTGTGTGTGTGTGTGTGTGTCTCATGAATAAATAAATAAAATCTTTAAAAAGAAAAATTTTAAAGCAGCAAGAGAGAAAAAAGATTCCTCACAAATAAGAGAAATTGCATAAGGCTATAATAGATTTTTCAGCTTAAACTTTGCAAGCCACAAGAGAATGGGATGATATATTCAAAGTTCTGGGGGGGGGAAAAACCCTGCCAAGCAAGAATACTTTACCCAGCACATGTGTCCTTCAGAAAAGAAGGTGAGACCAAGACTTTCCCAGATAATCAAAAGCTGAGGGAGTTGAACATCAGTAGACCTGCCTACAAGAAATGCTGAAAGGAGTATTTTTTTTTAAGATTTTATTAATTTATTCATAGAGACACAGAGAGAGAGAGAGAGGCAGAGACACAGGCAGAGGGAGAAGCAGGCTCCATGCAGAGAGCCCGATGTGGGACTTGATCCAGGGTCTCCAGGATCACGGCCTGGGCTGCAGGCAGAGCTAAACGCTGTGCCACTGGGGCTGCCCTGAAAGGAGTATTTTAAGTGGAAGTGAAAAGACACTAATTAGTAATATAAAAACATATGAAAATATAACACACCTGGAAAAATTAAGCACAGTTGACTTTTGAATAATTTTGGAGTTAGGGGCACCATATCCATACATGGTTGAAAATCCATGTATGACTTTTGAATCCCCCAAAACTTAAAAACTAATAGCCCACTTTTGATTGGGTGCCTTATTGATAACATAAACAGTTGATTGAGATATATTTTGTGTGAGTTACATGTATTATATATTGTATTCTTACAATAAAGTAAGAGAAAAGAAAATGTTATTTAAAAATCATAAGGAAGAAGGGCATCTGAGTGGCTCAGTTGGTTGAGTGTCTAATTCTTGATTTCAGCTCAGGTTGTGATCTCAAGGTCATGGGATCGAGCCCCATGTGGAGCTCTGCACTCAATGTGGAGTCAGCTTGAGATCCTCTCCCTCTGCCCCTCCCCACTTGCATTCACTCTCTCTCTTGCTAATAAATAAATTTTTTAAAAAAGAAAGAAAATCATAAGGAAGAGAAAGTGAATTTACAGTATTGTACTATTTTAATTTTTTTATAAAAACTCATGCATAAGTGGGTCTGCACAGTTCAAACCTACTTTTTTTTTTTAAAAGAATGCTTTATTCAGCTTTATAGGCTCTGTTACTTCTTTTTTGTTAAGATTTTATTTATTTATTTTAGAGAGAGAGTGAGCAAGAGAGAGAGAAGGTGCAGGGGAGGGGCAGAGGGAGAGGAAAAGCAGGCTCCCCACTAA